TTTTTTCTTTTTTAAAAATATAAGAACAGTGCGGGGGTGGGGGGCGGTGGCACACGGTGCGGCCTGCCCGGGGGTAGCCCGTGACGAACACCGGGGCCGTGGCTGCTTTCACCGACTCGCACCTAAGTCAGTTAGCGTCTGAGCGCCTCCGCTGGGCCGCTGGGGCACCCCGGCGCCCCCCCTGCGGGGCTGCCACTAGGGCTCAGCAAGGGCCTGCCGGGCGGGGGGAGGGGGACGCTTCGCTCCCACTTGCTCTCGGCTCTGCTCGCGCTCTGCTCGCTCCGCGCTCTGCTCCGCGCCGGGGGAGGCGGGAGCGTGAGTCACGGAGACTCCGGATTTAGGTGCCGGAAGGGGGGCTCTGCTGGCGGGGGGCCGCGGGGAGGAGGTGCGTCTGTTTACTCGCCTGAAAAGAGCATGAGGGTGCGTCCCGCGGCTGCTGGGGATCTGCCTTAGTTTACCTCCTACAAAAGCGCTTTTTAAAAGGGGCAGCGAAACAGAGCGGTGGGCGGGGAGCCGGGGTTTGGGCCAAGGGTTGTCCTTCTGGAGCCACACGGGAACCAAAGAGACACACTAGAAACATCCCAAAGCGGCCCCAGGCCAACCACACACACACACACACACACACACACACACACCCAACACACATGGACTTCCTCAGGCACGACGGCCAAGCGACGGAGGCTGAATCGCGTGCACAGCTCCGCAAGCACCGACGACCACAGTACACATCCGAAAGGCGTGGGAACACATGCAGAGCGCCAAGCCACCCGAACGGACCCCGCAGAGGCGCACGCTTTCCCAACAGGCAGCACATGTGTGCGCACATCCTTCACCCACAGACACATAGATCTACACATACAGCGAAACCCAAAGAAACAGGCAGACCGCGGCAGCTAACCACGTGCGCGCACACACTTCCAGGACACCCAAAACACAGACAACCCTCCGAAGGGGACACATGCGTGCACATCCCGCCCCGGGCACACACCATCGCCATCCTACGACCCACCGACAGGAGATCCCCCTCACACCGCCGCTGCCGGCCGCAGGGACCGCGCCTGTGGCACCCTGACCACTCGTTCTGGCCCCCAGCCAGGGGTAGCGGCAAGGAAACGACAGCACCGTGCTCCGCCCCGCCATGATGGACCGACTGACTGACACACCAGTAACCACTCGGGTGTCTTCTCGTTCGGATTAACCGTTTAACTCCTTCCTGCCGGTGCGCGCCGCTGCTACGCAGGGCACTCTGGAGAGAATCGCGTTCCCGCGCCCCCTCCCCGCCGGGAGTGGGGCTCTGCGTGGGCGGGAAAGGCCCCCCTCCTTGGGTGACTGCCCCCCGCTGGCCGGGACCGAGGAGGAGGGGGGCGGTGCTGACAACCAAGGCGGGCGGGTAGGGGAGGGACG